GTGTTTTGTTGGCTCAAAGATCTAGATTGGCCGTTGTTACTCATGGAGTCTACAGGAGGGCACGAGGGCCAATCACGGCCTGATCAGCTGTTTGTGTCAGATGAATGGCATGTTTGATATTTTGGTCGTTTGACCGCATGTGTATTTACTGACAGTCAGAGAAGAGACACCAGCTGATTCTCCGACTTCAGGGATTTTCATCCTGATAAGCCTGCACAAAGTGACACACAGCGTCTGAAATCTCCATGGCAACAGCAGTCCTGTCTCCCCCTACCATCATGAAAGATATGAACGAGAAAAATGTTAACTGTCGTGTGAGCTGACAATCTGTCCGCACTTTCTTTGATGGTTCGACTATGATGGACAATAACAGTTCTTAATGGATCCATGTGAGCTCAGAACCCTCCTGCCTCAAAGCCTCCTGGGAGAGGGACCTCATAGTTCTTATCCTAATCTTTACATGTGTGTGTGTGTGTGTGTGTGTGTGTGTGTGTGTGTGTGTGTGTGTTTGTGTGTGTTCTCTCTCTCGATGACCTTCTAATTTCGATGTGATACCATACCATCAGTTTGGGTTCTATATAATATGATACGATGCGATACATTGCGATGCGATGAGATTGGAATTTTTTTTTTTTTCTAGGACGATAATTTTTTTCACTCATAAAGTCTGCCTTAAGGTGACCTTATGACCATATTACACCTGTCCACTACAGCAAGCACACACGCTGGCGGCCCAGTGTGTGCGGGTCAGACCACCACAGCACACACAATCTACACATCTGTCAGACCACCACAGCAACCACAATCTACACATCTGTCAGACCACCACAGCAACCACAATCTACACATCTGTCAGACCACCACAATCTACACAATCTACACATCTGTCAGACCACCACAGCAACCACAATCTACACATCTGTCAGACCACCACAGCACACACAATCTACACATCTGTCAGACCACCACAGCAACCACAATCTACACATCTGTCAGACCACCACAATCTACACATCTGTCAGACCACCACAGCAACCACAATCTACACATCTGTCAGACCACCACAGCACACACAATCTACACATCTGTCAGACCACCACAGCAACCACAATCTACACATCTGTCAGACCACCACAATCTACACAATCTACACATCTGTCAGACCACCACAGCAACCACAATCTACACATCTGTCAGACCACCACAATCTACACAATCTACACATCTGTCAGACCACCACAGCAACCACAATCTACACATCTGTCAGACCACCACAATCTACACAATCTACACATCTGTCAGACCACCACAGCAACCACAATCTACACATCTGTCAGACCACCACAATCTACACAATCTACACATCTGTCAGACCACCACAATCTACACAATCTACACATCTGTCAGACCACCACAATCTACACAATCTACACATCTGTCAGACCACCACAATCTACACAATCTACACATCTGTCAGACCACCACAGCAACCACAATCTACACATCTGTCAGACCACCACAGCAACCACAATCTATACATCTGTCAGACCACCACAGCAACCACAATCTACACATCTGTCAGACCACCACAGCAGCTACAATCTACACATCTGTCAGACTAGTGACAAACAAACAGCGTCTTGACACCATGTGAAGATTTACTGAACTCTCCAGATCATAATAATCCACAAGTCCCCACGCTTTAAATCTAGTAAAAGATTTAATCCAAACACATCCATAACCATCCACAGACTGATTCAGATTTACCTCTGCTGACCTTTTGATGACACCTCATAAGAGCCAATGAGAGCCTTTGTCGCCCTCAGTTCTGACAGTCAATGCACACAACCGTGCCGATGACAGGGCTGATATATCGAAAGAAACATGAGCACCCTCAATAGGCCAGGTGTGAAATTGAGGCGACCAATTACCTGCAGCATGATGTCATTAGATTGAGAGTGATTAGGCCGCACTAAATGTGACAGTGATGTGTGGGTTATTGATCTGAAAATAAGTGATGATAGGGGTCTGACCTCTGTCACATTCTGCAGAGCTCTCCCTCTCTCTCTTTATATATGTATCTGTGTCTCTCGCCCTCTGCAGTATGGTAGCAGTATGAACAGCCCCAGCCTTCATGCAGAGGTAGCAGCACGCTCATTCCATACTTATACAGCTGATACATGGGGAGGGGGGGGAGAGGAGAGGAAGAGGGGTTTAATGAGGACACCTCTTTCTGATCACCTGACCTACTGTTTGTCAGCGTCACCTGAAATTTAAAGGGCCAGTCACACCAGAAGAATTGAGGGAACCATCATCCAGAATAGAGATTTGCTGGAGGCTCGATGACATAACGCTGCCGTCCACATAGGAAGTCTTACACAAACACTGCTTGTTGTGTTAGTGAGCGATTCTTGTGAACATAGCTGCAAGGCAACATCAACAAGGCGCCCAAATACTCACAAGCAAGTGGTTAGCTACATCCAGGAGATTCAAAAATATAAAGGACAAGAGTTGTCTTATGCATACTATTTGTTACAAATCTAATCTCCATATACATGAAGCCACCACACACAGTGAAGATTCACTCTGATGCCCTCAGAGATTTCTGAACAGCAAACATGTCTGACGTGTCTCTTCTTCCTCTTTAGTTTTAAAACATGTGGTTTTCAAATGTTTCCAATTATCCAAAATGTTGACCCCCTGCATTCAGGGTTTAGATTGTCTTTAGATTTTTTAATATGTCCGGCCTTGATATCTGGATCAAAAATATATCTTCTTTTTTTGACCCAGAAAAATCTCCCACATCCCAAAGACACGACATCTCTTGGCTCTGTGTCAGTGTGGAGACTGGGGAAAAGGCCTGTATGGGTTCATGTAGAAGAAATAAGAGGATTTCAGTTCTATAAGCTCCAAGTAGCACCCAGCACCCATCAGCAGCCTGGATTTACTCTGGACATCCTGCACTGTATCACACAGCCTGGCTGTACAGAGACAGTGAGCGTGCAGCCGAGCAGTTAAGTGCCACATCACGACGAGTGGGATAAAATGTGAGGAGTCTCAGGGTGACTGCAATGGGTGCTAGTTTAACTTTGAACATGTTGGGCGAGGAATGGGATGGATGGCAGCTGTTAAGCCTATGAGGAGAAAGTGTTTATTGTTTTACCATCAGAGTGGGGATAACTGTTTCATATGCTACATTATTAACACAAAGAAAATTGGCACAAAAACCTTTGGTCTTTTTGTCTCACTTCTGTTTTTGACCTCGAAAATTCTGGAATTAAAGATCTAGTTTCTTGAGTTTTGAAGGACTGGGTTTCGAATTGTGAAAATATAGTTGCTGTTTTTGTGCTGTGGAGTGACTTTGAAACGGCGCTTGTTAAAGAAGCCTGTTTTTACAGCAGAGATGAACATGTTTACAGCCTGGTTCAAAAAACCAAATAGGTGTGATTAGCTCATGTCTGGATGGACACACACTGTACGGGGGGTGAATGTTTTGATGACTCATCAGTTTTGATTTGATGAAGGATAAGAGTTATTCACAATAAGGCGTGTAGCTGACCTGATTGACAGGTGGGCGCGGTGTAACGGTTTGTCAGGAGGTTTAAAACCCGCCTCAGCTCCAGCTCTCAGCCTGTCGTTAGGTTGACTGAAAGTTAGACTGAGACAGCATTTCCAGCATGGAGACCGCCATCGATGGGACTCCAGCGCCCCCTGCAGGAATAAACGGGAAACATTACTCAGTCTTCAAATATTCATATTTAGTCTTTGGTGGAAACTCATTAGAATATATATAAAATACATTATTAATTGTATTTACATGATTAAAGACGTAAAATAAGGCACATGACGGTATGCGGATTCACGGCTACAGTGGCTAAATCGTCACATCGCGACCTTCATGTTTATGGAGGCGATATGTCACATGATGGTGAATCATGTCTCTCACTGAAGCTGCTCTGTGAGTAATTTGCCTGTTATCAGGGTTCAGCGAGCAGTTAGCATCCCATCCTTTAGCCGAAAGGTCACATGTTCAAGGCTGAAACATACACGTGGATAGATGTGTTCTTGTATGAGGACATGAATCCTGTCCCTTCTCTGGATTAGACCATCTATAACATGCTAAACCTGTAGCAAAAAAAACAGCGTGGCTTTTGAAGAGGGAGTAGCTGATTAGCCAAACAGTTAATCGGAGAGCGTTGTGAGCTCACAGGAAATAACTGTCCTTCCTCTTTTCCTCTGATTCAACAGTGAACTCTTTATCTGTACATCATCCTCCCTCTCCTGACTCACTGTACACTATACATGTACTGCTGTGATGCTAGTGCTAACGGCCGAGATTGACTGTGTGCTAACCATAAGCTGATATATTGTGTGTTTTTAATGCTAAGCTAACGGTTGTGATTGTATATTAATGTTGTATGCTGGTATGAATAGTTTTGACTTTATACTTACTGCTGTATTGCTGTATGCTGCTGTTTATAGTGTGTGCTAAGGTAATGCTAATATAGTAAAAATGTGCTAACAATGAGCTAATGATTGTAAGTGTAACTGTGCTAAATGCTAAGCTGCTGTTATTTATTGTGTGCTAAGCTAATGCTAATATTTATGTGTGCTTTTGCTCTAACGTTACTGGAATGCTACTTGCTGCTATTAATACAGTGTGCCTAGCTACTGCTAATAGTGCTGTAATGCTAACTGTGCTAATGGTGTTTGTTTATGTGTGCGTGTCTGTTTGTTGTTGTTGTCTACCTTTCTCTGTTCCTCTCTTGACTTTATTTTTCTCTCTTTTTCCCTCTCCCCGCTCTCTCTTTCTTCCCCCTTCTCTCTCGCCCCCCTTTCTCTCTCTTTCTCTCTCCCCTTCTCTCTCTCTTCCCCCTTCTCTCTCTTTCTCTCTCCCCGCTCTCTCTCTCTCTCTCTCCCCGACTCCCTCTCTCCTTCGCTCTCTCTTTCTCTCTCTCTCTCTCTCCCCCCTTCTCTCTCTTTCTCTCTCTTCCTGTCAGGTCTTATTCCTCCTCCACCTGTTCTACTACCACCTCCTCTTGTCGTCCCTCCAACAACCCTACTAGCATCACCACTCCTTCCTCCACCTCCTCCTCCTCCTCCTCCTCTCTCTACTCCTCCAGCCTACCTCCTAACAGCCACGCCACCTACCATCAGTACTGCTGTCCCGCGCGCCTCCGCCTGCCCAAGCCTCCCTGCGCCCTGCCCCCCGCCAAGCACCACGAGCAGGCAAGGTAAGGGCCAGAGTCCCCCTCCTTAACACCCAGCCTCACCCACTGTCCCCCCACTCTGCCTCTACCCACCACACTGTCCCTGGTAGCCTCCCCCCCGACCACATCCCCGAGCAGGGAGGCCAGTGACACCAAATCCGTTTAGAGCGAATTTGAAGTAGTGTTGTTACAATACCATGATGTGATGCTAAGGAAACGTCAGCAACATAAACAGAGTCTCTAGGTGATTAATACTGGGACACTTTCATTTCTTTGAGTTTTACTCACAGTGTCTAAAATGCACAAATACTTGTCAACGTGTCGATAGCAAACATGCCAACGTTTGAGCGCTTTAGACACTTTGTGGAGGTTTCTGGCGTTTGTTGATGGAGTCATTATGCTCCTGAAAGAGATGAAGTCGTTTAAATGTTCAGTCCTTTTTGATGCTATTGTTCATTAAAATAATAGAGAATGGAAAAGGATAGAGTATCGAGCATTTGAAGAAAAGTCATGTTTGATTTCTAGTGTCGTCTTTTACACTAGACAAGAAGTCTGCCAAGATGTTCCTTCCAGATGTAACCACGAAGGTCAAATAAATAAAGGATCATATTTACAATCATAGCTGATAACTTGCCCTCAGTTCAGTTTGCTATGATACGCTGTTTACTTAATATCTCAAAACATATGGTGTTTTAATGCTAAAACTATTAGTCTTCATATCAGGATGGACAAACTAAACTCATGATACGATGTGTCTCAGGATACTGTGTTTACGATTTTCTACATTTCATCACTGAAAGTCTCGTGTGCTTCCTCCATGTCAGTACGCCTCTCTTCTTCAGATACTCATGTCACACAAGAGAAACTGCAGGAGGCGCCCTCTGCTGGTAAAAAAAGAGTCTCAAAAGTATTTTTGTGTCATCAGTTTAATTGTTAATATTCTTTTCTATTCTATTTGATTTTTAATTGTATCGCTAGTTAGTTAATAATTAATCAACAATAAATACTCAGTTGTGAACATCCTCTACCTATGCCTTCTTTCTGATTACGATACGGTGAAGAACGGTACAGAACAGTGAAGAACGGTACAGAACGGTACTGAACGGTAAAGAACGATACAGAACGGTGAAGAACGGTACAGAACAGTACAGAACGGTGAAGAACGGTACAGAATGGTAAAGAACGATACAGAACGGTGAAGAACGGTACAGAACGGTACAGAACGGTACAGAACAGTACAGAACGGTGAAGAACGGTACAGAACAGTACAGAACGGTGAAGAACGGTACAGAACAGTACAGAACGATACAGAACGGTGAAGAACGGTACAGAACGGTACAGAACAGTACAGAACGGTGAAGAACGGTACAGAACAGTACAGAATGGTAAAGAACGATACAGAACGGTGAAGAACGGTACAGAACAGTACAGAACGGTGAAGAACGGTACAGAATGGTAAAGAACGATACAGAACGGTGAAGAACGGTACAGAACGGTACAGAACAGTACAGAACGGTGAAGAACGGTACAGAATGGTAAAGAACGATACAGAACGGTGAAGAACGGTACAGAACGGTACAGAACAGTACAGAACGGTGAAGAACGGTACAGAACGGTAAAGAACGATACAGAACGGTGAAGAACGGTACAGAACGATACAGAACGGTGAAGAACGGTACAGAACGGTACAGGACGGTGAAGAACAGTACAGAACGGTGAAGAACGGTACAGAACAGTGAAGAACGGTACAGAACGGTACAGAACGGTAAAGAACGGTACAGAACAGTACAGAACGGTGAAGAACGGTACAGAACGATACAGAACGGTACAGAACGGAGAAGAACAACATATGAAAGCTAATGTAGCTTAGCATCGTAGGCATTAGTAAAATAAACAGGAGGAAGACTAAAACTGGAGACTAAAAACTCTTAAGCAAAATGTTGACTGGAGAGGTAAGTCCACTATATGACTTCTATCTTTGGAGTGCCCCCTGCTGGCCATTAAAGGAATACAGCTTTAAGGAGCCTACATCAACGTCTTTTATATAGTCTGTGATCACATGTAAAATCGTTTGTGTTTGGTACAAAACTAAAAACGTGACAACGTTTTTAATATACTGTAAAAAGTATATTAATAAAAAGTTACACGATACAAGAGGTTAAGTTTGGTTTTCATTTAAAGAGAGTCCTCGATTACATTTTTGGAAGGAGAACTCAAATTTGGGGTTAGGGTTTCCCAATTTCATCTTTATATGTTGGATCAAAGCTAAAACAACGTCTCTAAAGCTTCTGTTCATAAAACAGAGTTTCCACTTTTCGATTCAGCAGAAGGAAATCAAACTGATCGAATTCACTCTGAACTTCTTATGGTGTCACACGAGGCCTCACCTGCTCTTCACCCACGCCGTCTCCCCCACGCCGTCTCCCCCATGCCTCCCCACAGTGTTTATATTCTGTAATAGCTCCCCGCTTCCCTCCCTCCTTCAGACTGAATGAAACAGAAGGTGAAGCAGCCTCTCCTGTCACTCCTTTTATCCATCACCTCCCAAAACACCATCACCTCCCTAAACACCATCACCTCCCTAAACACTTTCACCCTCTCCCCTCCTTCATCCCTCCCTCTCTCCCCTCCTTGTCCTCCATCCAGTGAAGGAGCAGCAGAGAAAAAACTTTTTTTGAACGAATCTGTCTTTTCGTGTGTTTGCTGCACAAAGTCTGCACAAAAATGACATAAATTCAAACAATACACTTTTTTTCATAACAACAATAAACAATAAAAAGAAACCAAATAAAAGACAGGAGCAGATTATGACATTTAAAACAAAGATTAGTGAAATCACTTTTTATGTATGTTTTCTTTCAACTTAAGAACTTTCTAACAAAATGTTTTTTTATCGACCACATTTTTATTGTGAAAAGAAATATTTATGAAACAGCGTGAATATCGTGAGACACTTTCAGACTGCAGAACGTCCTTTGAGTTTGTTAACAACGATCATAAGGTGGCCAACAGGAAGTGAGAAAGTGTTTAGAGACATGTGGACAACAGGAAGTGAGAAAGTGTTTAGAAACATGTGGACAACAGGAAGTGAGAAAGTGTTTATAGACAGGTGGACAACAGGAAGTGAGGAAGTGTTTAGAAACTGGTGGACAACAGGAAGTGAGAAAGTGTTTAGAGACAAATGAAACAGGTGGACAACAGGAAGTGGATGACAGGAAGTGAGAAAGGGTTTAGAGACAGGTGGACAACAGGAAGTGGACAACAGGAAGTGAGAAAGTGTTTAGAAACATGTGGACAACAGGAAGTGAGAAAGTGTTTAGAGACAGGTGGACCACAGGTGAGAAAGTGTTTAGAAACATGTGGACAACAGGAAGTGGACAACAGGAAGTGAGAAAGTGTTTAGAAACATGTGGACAACAGGAAGTGAGAAAGTGTTTAGAAACATGTGGACAACAGGAAGTGAGAAAGTGTTTAGAAACAGGTGGACGACAGGAAGTGAGAAAGTGTTTAGAAACATGTGGAAGACAGGAAGTGAGAAAGTGTTTAGAGACATGTGGAAGACAGGAAGTGAGAAAGTGTTCAGAGACAGGTGGACAACAGGAAGTGAGAAAGTGTTTAGAGACAGGTGGGCAACAGGAAGTGAGAAAGTGTTCAGAGACAGGTGGACAAGAGGAAGTGGACAACAGTAAGTGAGAAAGTGTTTAGAGACAGGTGGACAACAGGAAGTGAGAAAGTGTTTAGAAACGTGTGGACAACAGGAAGTGGAAAACAGGAAGTGAGAAAGTGTTTAGAAATATGTAGACAACAGGAAGTGAGACAATAGGAAGTGAGAAAGTGTTCAGAAACATGTGGACAACAGGAAGTGGACAACAGGAAGTGAGAAAGTGTTTAGAAACATGTGGACAACAGAAAGTGGACAACAGGAAGTGAGAAAGTGTTTAGAAATATGTAGACAACAGGAAGTGAGACAATAGGAAGTGAGAAAGTGTTCAGAAACATGTGGACAACAGGAAGTGAGAAAGTGTTTAGAAACATGTGGACAACAGAAAGTGGACAACAGGAAGTGAGAAAGTGTTTAGAAATATGTGGACAACAGGAAGTGAGAAAGTGTTCAGAAACATGTGGACAACAGGAGGAAGTGAAAAAGTGTTTAGAAACGTGTGGACAACAGGAAGTGGAAAACAGGAAGTGAGAAAGTGTTTAGAAACGTGTGGACAACAGGAAGTGAACAACAGGAGGAAGTGAGAAAGTGTTTAGAAACGTGTGGACAACAGGAAGTGGAAAACAGGAAGTGAGAAAGTGTTTAGAAATATGTAGACAACAGGAAGTGAGACAACAGGAAGTGAGAAAGTGTTCAGAAACATGTGGACAACAGGAAGTGGACAACAGGAAGTGAGAAAGTGTTTAGAAACATGTGGACAACAGGAAGTGAGAAAGTGTTCAGAAACATGTGGACAACAGGAAGTGAGAAAGTGTTTAGGGACAGATGGACAACAGGGTATTATTTGTGTGTGTGTGTGTGTGTGTGTGTGTGTGTGTGTGTGTGTGTGTGTGTGTGTGTGTGTGTGTGTGTGTTTGTATGTGTATATGCGTGTGTGTGTGTGTGTGTGTGTGTGTGTGTGTGTGTGTGTGTGTTTGTATGTGTATATGCGTGTGTGTGTGTGTGTGTGTGTGTGTGTGTGTGTGTGTGTGTGTGTGTGTGTGTGTGTGTGTGTGTGTGTGTGTGTGTGTGTGTGTGTGTGTGTGTGTGTGTGTGTGTGAGGGCTGAGAGGATGATGATGAGTCACCAGCAGAGGAGGCAGTTTTTAGAGGGTGTTGTTAATAAAATCACCAGATGACTAACACGCTGCTGATGGAGGCGGAGTTAATCTGTATCAGGAAGCTAACAGGGTCTCTGTGGGTGATGTGGCTCCACTAACATCAGAGAGCGTGATCAACAGTCACATGAAGCCAGTTATCAACCTGATAAGTTACCCTCGAGTTTCAGAGAGCACAGTCACATAAAAGGGGCGGAGCTAGCTTCATATAACCTACAACAATCATCACTGAGTCTGCTGCCAGCAGATCGTCATATCTAACAAACTCTGAATAAACTATATTACTAATATAAAGAGGTTTAAAACAAACCCAGAGACTAAAGTTACACAGCTGCAGAAAAAAGAAACATCAGAGAGTATTAATGTCCAAACTACAGATGAATACATTTCAGTCCCATCGTTACCTTGAAGATAAGAACTCATGTTTTCTCTCTGAACTGGATGTGTGTGTCTGACTCTTTCATGTGGAGACTATAACAGTTTGAGAAGTTATATTTCAGCTCTGATGATAACAAACAGAGCAGCATGGAGACCCTAAACATTCATATGAAAATATAATTCAAAGACATCAGAAGATATTCATCATTTAACATCTTAAAAACACTTTTTTTTTAGTCTCTGTTGAACGATGATATCAGTTCAAAAGAATCATTCACTTTACGGACTATAATGTTATTATCTGGGACACATGAAGGCTCTCCCTCCACTCTACATAAACATCCCACCTGCTCCAAAGCAGGTTAGGTGTGCAGCATAAGTTACCATGGCGATTTACCCAGGTAACAAGTGAACAACCTTCGTAGGAATGAAAACCCAGAGTTAACCCTGAAGTGACCTCGCTAACCCCAAATCCTGCTTTATAGTCCAGATCCGGATCTCTCACTTTAAACCAGACAACAACAACACAACTGATGATTGTTCTAATAGGGTACAGCAAAGACTTATCTCATCTTACCCCCCTGCAGCCCCCCCTCCACACCCCCCATGTCCTCTCCCTAAAGCAGATATTCTCTGCAGAGCGTCTGCTCACCTCTGACTCTGTGTGAACTTTATCATTTTAGACATGAACTGTTTCTCCAAGTGACGAGGAAACGCTGCTTCGCCTCAGCCTGCTTCACTCATATATGTGTAAACACTGATATCTGGTGGCTGACTGCAGTACTGCAACTCTCAACTTCAATTTAAAACAAATAATACTCCATCAACAGACTGCTCTTCTTTACCTCCCCTTTTTCTGTTTCTCTTCTTCTTCCACTATCTTTTTATTTTCTTCTCTCTTCTGTCCATCTCCTCCTCCTCTTTTCTTTTCCTCCTCCTCCTCCTCCTCCTCTTCTTTGCCTCCTCCTCTCCCTCCTCCTCCACTTCTTCTTTTCTTCCTCCTCCTCTCCCTCCTCCTCCTCCTCTCCCTCCTCCTCTTCTTCTTCTCCTCCTCCTCCCCTTCCTCCTCCTCTTCTTTTCCTCCTCCTCCTCCTCTCCTCCTCCTCCTCCTCTCCCTCCTCCTCTTCTTCTTTTCCTCCTCCTCCTCTTATTTTCCTCCTCCTCTTCTTCTTTTCCTCCTCTCCTCCTCTTCTCCCCCTCCTTCTCTTCCTCCTCCCCTTCTCTCTCTCTCTCTGTCCTTGTCTCTCTTGTTCATTTTGCTGTCCGTCTCTCAGAGAGGAGGAAGATGATGACATCGCCCATCAGTTCTGTTGCCCCGCCTCCGAGTGCAGTAGCCCCTCTTCTAGGTAACCAGGGGCGACCTGAGCCACTCCTCCACCTGCCCCGCCCGACTCTCGCCTGGTAAAGTGGCGGGGTTGATTATGAACCCTTTCTCCCTCCATGACTGCCTGTGTCTCTCTTTTCCTTTCTTTTAACATAAAACATCCATAAACTGTTGTTCAAACCTGCGAGGTTTAAAACAAAACCAAACATGAGGAGAAAATCTGAAAACTTTCAAAGAAAATAAAGAAACTGGCACTGCACTTCTGCTGCTGATCCATGAGTTTGTTAAACTGGAGATACATTTTCATAAAGAGTTGGGCCTGTTGGGGACAGAGAAAGTTGCTCTGCAGCTTTAAACCATCAGGACCAAAAACTCTATCTGTCCAGCAGAGACTCACCTGGAGATGTCCGCAGGATGCAGGGACACACTGGACTGTCTTTGACCTCGTCTCTCCTCTAGTCTCCTAGTTTGGGTCTGACTTAAACAGTTTATCCGCCCTCATCCGAGCATGAAGCCATGACCCCTCTGTGTTCTGACCACACTGTGCACTGAGCCGGAGGGAGACAGAGTCCGACATAATAGCTGCAAAAACCAGCAGGTTATGGCTGGAGGGGCTGCGATTTGTCTCGACTCTGTCTCGGGGCTCTGGTGTGCCACAGCATGTCTCCTCCCCGTTACATCTAACTCTGTGAATGAAGGTCTGAAGACTCGTCTGGTCTGAAAAAGTTCAGCAGCTCTCCATGAACTGTTGGAGCAGCTGCAACAGGAAACCAGACGTGTCCTTCTGGTCAGCTGATGACAAAGCGCCAAAATGTTCAGCAAATGCACTGATATGATTTTGTTTCCTCTCTGTCTTCTTTTAGAGTCATTCTTGACCCTACATTCTGCAACCAGGGTTCTCCTTAGGACTGCTCATTTTCTGATTTCAACAATCTATCACACCCAAACATAATGCTGCAGGGAGAGTTAGCATGAATCAGTTACAGGAGGGAGAGAAGATTCCTTTGAATTAGGGTATATTCTGCAACCACCAGGTGGCACCAAATGGGCAGAACAGAGTTTTGGTGTTGATGTCATGCATAGAGAAATTTATGGGGAAGCATTCAAAGCAACATGTAAATCATGCTAAGCTAACTAGCCTGGATCTAAGCTGACTCAGAAAGAATAAGAGACTGATCTCTGAATTGACGCTATACAAATAAAGATTGATTGATTGACTGATTGCAGCCTGTAGCCCGAAGTCTGCAGCTTGCAGCCTGTAGACTATAGCCTGTAGATTGTAAACTGTAGCCTGTAGCCTGTAGACTGTAGACTGTAGACTGTAGCCTGTAGCCTGTAGACTGTAGCCTGTAGACTGTAGCCTGTAGCCTGTAGACTGTAGACTGTAGACTGTAGACTGTAGCCTGTAGACTGTAGCCTGTAGCCTGTAGACTGTAGCCTGTAGACTGTAGACTGTAGCCTGTAGCCTGTAGACTGTAGCCTGAAGCCTGTAGCCTGTAGCCTGTAGACTGTAGCCTGTAGACTGTAGCCCGCAGCCTGTAGACTGTAGACTGTAGACTGTAGCCCGCAGCCTGTAGACTGTAGCCTGTAACCTGTAGACTGTAGCCTGTAGCCTGTAGACTGTAGCCTGTAGCCTGTAGACTGTAGACTGTAGCCTGTAGCCTGTAGACTGTAGCCTGTAGCCTGTAGACTGTAGCCCGCAGCCTGTAGCCCGCAACCTGTAGACTGCAGGCTGTAGCCTGTAGCCTGTAGCCTGTAGCCTGTAGCCTGTAGCCCGCAGCCTGTAGACTGTAGACTGTAGCCCGCAGCCTGTAGACTGTAGTCCGCAGCCTGTAGACTGTAGCCTGTAGCCCGCAGCCTGTAGACTGTAGACTGTAGTCCGCAGCCTGTAGACTGTAGCCTGTAGCCTGTAGCCTGTAGCCCGCAGCCTGTAGACTGTAGACTGTAGCCTGTAGCCTGTAGCCTGTAGCCTGTAGCCTGTAGCCTGTAGCCCGCAGCCTGTAGACTGTAGCCTGTAGCCTGTAGCCTGTAGCCTGTAGCCTGTAGACTGTAGCCTGTAGCCTGTAGACTGTAGCCTGCAGCCTGTAGCCTGTAGACTGTAGACTGCAGCCTGTAGCCTGTAGCCTGTAGCCTGTAGCCCGCAGCCTGTAGACTGTAGACTGTAGCCTGTAGCCCGCAGCCTGTAGCCTGTAGACTGTAGACTGTAGCCTGTAGCCCGCAGCCTGTAGCCTGTAGACTGTAGACTGTAGCCCGCAGCCTGTAGACTGTAGCCTGTAGCCCGCAACCTGTAGACTGCAGCCTGTAGCCTGTAGACTGTAGCCTGTAGCCTGTAGCCTGTAGCCTGTAGACTGTAGTCTGTAGACTGTAGACTGTAGACTGTGGCCTGTAGACTGTAGACTGTAGACTGTAGTCTCCAGGCAGTAGTCTGTAGTCTCCAGGCAGTAGTCTGTAGTCTGTAGTCTGTAGTCTGTAGTCTCCAGGTAGTAGACTGTAGTCTGTAGTCTCCAGGCAGTAGACTGTAGTCTCCAGGCAGTAGTCTGTAGTCTGTAGTCTCCAGGCAGTAGTCTGTAGTCTCCAGGCAGTAGTCTGTAGTCTCCAGGCAGTAGTCTGTAGTCTGTAGTCTCCAGGCAGTAGACTGTAGTCTCCAGGCAGTAGTCTGTAGTCTGTAGTCTCCAGGCAGTAGTCTGTAGTCTGTAGTCTCCAGGCAGTAGTCTGTAGTCTGTAGTCTCCAGGCAGTAGTCTGTAGCCTGTAGTCTCCAGGCAGTAGACTGTAGTCTCCAGGCAGTAGACTGTAGTCTCCAGGCAGTAGTCTGTAGTCTCCAGGCTGTAGTCTGTAGTCTCCAGGCAGTAGTCTGTAGTCTGTAGTCTGTAGTCTCCAGGCAGTAGTCTGTAGTCTGTAGTCTCCAGGCAGTAGTCTGTAGCCTGTAGTCTCCAGGCAGTAGACTGTAGTCTCCAGGCAGTAGTCTGTAGTCTCCAGGCTGTAGTCTGTAGTCTCCAGGCAGTAGTCTGTAGTCTGTAGTCTCCAGGCAGTAGACTGTAGTCTCCAGGCAGTAGTCTGTAGTCTGTAGTCTCCAGGCAGTAGTCTGTAGTCTCCAGGCAGTAGTCTGTAGTCTCCAGGCAGTAGTCTGTAGTCTCCAGGCAGTAGTCTGTAGTCTGTAGTCTCCAGGCAGTAGTCTGTAGTCTCCAGGCAGTAGTCTGTAGTCTCCAGGCAGTAGACTGTAGTCTGTAGTCTGTAGTCTGTAGTCTGTCGTCTGTAGTCTCCAGGCAGTAGTCTGTAGTCTGTAGTCTGTAGTCTGTAGTCTGCAGTCTGTAGTCTGTAGTCTGTAGTCTGTAGTCTGCAGTCTGTAGTCTGTAGTCTGTAGTCTGTAGTCTGCAGTCTGCAGTCTGTAGTCTGTAGTCTGTAGTCTGTAGTCTCCAGGCAGTAGTCTGTAGTCTGTAGTCTGTAGTCTGTAGTCTGTAGTCTGTAGTCTGTAGTCTGTAGTCTCCAGGCAGTAGTCTGTAGTCTGCAGTCTGTAGTCTGCAGTCTGTAGTCTCCAGGCAGTAGACTGTAGTCTGTAGTCTGTAGTCTGTAGTCTGTAGCCTGTAGTCTCCAGGCAGTAGTCTGCAGTCTGCAGTCTGTAGTCTGTAGCCTGTAGTTTGTAGTCTGCAGTCTGTAGTCTCCAGGCAGTAGACTGTAGTCTGTAGTCTGTAGTCTGTAGCCTGTAGCCTGTAGTCTGTAGTCTGTAGTCTGCAGTCTGTAGTCTCCAGGCAGTAGACTGTAGTCTGTAGTCTGTAGTCTGTAGTCTGCAGTCTGCAGTCTGCAGTCTGTAGTCTGTAGCCTGTAGTCTGTAGTCTGTAGTCTGCAGTCTGCAGTCTGTAGACTGTAGTCTGTAGACTGTAGTCTGCAGCCTGTAGCCTGTAGACTGTAGCCTGTAGCCTGTAGCCTGTAGCCCGCAGCCTGTAGACTGTAGCCTGTAGCCTGTAGCCCGCAGCCTGTAGACTGTAGACTGTAGCCTGTAGCCCGCAACCTGTAGACTGCAGTCTGTAGTCTCCAGGCAGTAGTCTGTAGTCTGTAGTCTGCAGTCTGTAGTCTGTAGTCTGTAGTCTGTAGACTGTAGCCTGTAGACTGTAGACTGTAGCCTGTAGCCTGTAGCCCGCAGCCTGTAGCCTGTAGACTGTAGCCCGCAGCCTGTAGACTGTAGACTGTAGCCTGTAGACTGTAGACTGTAGCCTGTAGCCTGTAGACTATAGCCTGTAGACTGTAGACTGTAGACTGTAGCCTGTAGACTGTAGACTGTAGCCTGTAGACTGTAGACTGTAGTCTGTAGCCTGTAGACTGTAGCCTGTAGACTGTAGACTGTAGACTGTAGACTGTAGACTGTAGACTGTAGTCTGTAGCCTGTAGACTGTAGACTGTAGTCTGTAGCCTGTAGACTGTAGACTGTAGCCTGTAGACTGTAGACTGTAGCCTGTAGCCTGTAGCCCGCAGCCTGTAGACTGTAGCCTGTAGCCCGCAACCTGTAGACTGCAGTCTGTAGTCTCCAGGCAGTAGTCTGTAGTCTGTAGTCTGCAGTCTGTAGTCTGTAGTCTGTAGTCTGTAGTCTGCAGTCTGTAGTCTGTAGTCTGTAGTCTGTAGTCTGTAGTCTGCAGTCTGTAGTCTGTAGTCTGCAGTCTGTAGTCTCCAGACAGTAGTCTGTAGTCTGTAGTCTGCAGTCTGTAGTCTGTAGTCTGTAGTCTGTAGTCTGTAGTCTGTAGTCTGCAGTCTGTAGTCTGTAGTCTGTAGTCTGTAGTCTGTAGTCTGTAGTCTGTAGTCTGTAGTCTGTAGTCTGCAGTCTGTAGTCTCCAGACAGTAGTCTGTAGTCTGTAGTCTGTAGTCTCCAGGCAGTAGTCTGTAGTCTGTAGTCTGTAGTCTGTAGTCTGTAGTCTGTAGTCTGTAGTCTGTAGTCTGCAGTCTGTAGTCTGTAGTCTGTAGTCTGCAGTCTGTAGTCTGTAGTCTGTAGTCTGCAGTCTGTAGTCTGCAGTCTGTAGTCTGTAGTCTGTAGTCTGTAGTCTGTAGTCTGCAGTCTGTAGTCTGCAGTCTGTAGTCTGCAGTCTGTAGTCTGCAGTCTGTAGTCTGTAGTCTGCAGTCTGTAGTCTGTAGTCTGTAGTCTGATGTGGGCCAGCTCAGAAAAGTTCAAAGAGAAAGAGAGAAAAACTCATGAAGTGCTTCCACCTGTTTTCAGTTTATCTGTAGGAAATGTACAGTGCACACACACACACACACACACACACACACACACACACACACACACACACCACACACGTATAGCAGCTGTGAGAGTCCTCAGAGTGATAACACTGCAGTGATGAGCTTTAAGGTGATATTTTTAACAATCATTCTCCTGGATTAAGATAACATGAATCTATTTAATGTATTCGGTGGTTCATTAATATGATAATACGTTTAGAGAAGGCAGCAGGAAACACGTGCATGCAAACGCTGCGGCGCTGTAAATGAGACAGTCCATGAATGAAGATAGAGAAGCTGACTGTGAGGAAACGTTCATCTCTGTTTGTCTCCACTAATAGTGAGGACAATCAGAGTTTACAAATGAGCTGGGTGCTCACTCTCACTTTGTCTCCACACAAACTCTGAAGTGAGTAAATCCTTTGACAAAGGTCTCGTCCAATCAGGCGAGCTGAATGTTAATGTTCTGATTGAATGTGACGTTTGTAAAAAAAAAAAAAAGCTCTGTGATGTTTTCAAGGTTGACGACAGGCATATGTGTGGCAGAGTTCTGCTCTTTCTGCTCTCTCCTTATTTCTCGTATTTAATGAAGTCGAACAAATCAAATCTTTGTTCATCAAAGGTTTTATTTATGAATGAATGGATTTAATTACAGATTTAACGGCTCCTGGAGGAATAATCCTGACAGAGAGGAGATGTGTCAGATCCTTCATTCCTGCTGTTCTGGTTTAGATTTATGAACCTCATGTGACTCAGCTGTTGACAGTTCACCTGGTTCACTGAGAGCTGATTCTAACACAATTCAAATAGAACGATCAAATGTTGGATCCATCCACCCTGAAAGGCTCTGTGTACATTCAGTAATTAAAAAAGATATTATCATTGTTGGTGTTGTTATAATGATGATCACATTCTGCTTCTCTGTACATTTTAAACATCAGGAGTTCAAACACCTGAGGAGGTGAAAAAGCTGCAGCCTGAACATTAACTTCATTAAGTTTTTCAGTGTGTTTCAGCTCGTCACCTTCATCAGGGTCAAACACCTGAAAACAAACGTGTTTCTTTACAGTTCTCATTCACAGGTTTCTTTTTGAACACTAAGGTGAGAGCGTTACCTGCA